GACCAGGAGTGGGGGAACGGATACGGGTCGGGACGGGAGGCTGGGTTGCTCGGTGCGAGCCCTCTTTTAGTTTTAGGGTTTTAACCCCAGGAGAATCATCGCCGTGCGATCCTCGATGCACGGCTGCGGTGCTTGTAATGGAGGGTTTGCGCTCGGTGTTCGGGTGATCGGGTGCGTGCGTGTGTTGCGGCTCCGTTGTGCATGTGTTCGGGTAGGCAGTGTGGCCAGTTGAGAAATGCACGCGCGCGGTAGCACGTAATTACGAAAAATGTCTCTAGGAATCGATTCATACTCTCTGTCTTATTTGCTAGTACTCCCTCCGATTCAAAATAAACGTAACAATTTTAAATTGTGGGATTAATTCAAAACTGCAACATTTCTTATGGATCGGTGATAGAACCTTTTTTGGGTAAAGTGAGTTTTATTTCATGGAAACAGGATTACAGTCAACTAATAATACTAGCTCAGATTTCTAAAAAAGTACTAGCACAGAAATACAGTCTAATATCAGAACGGCTATGATTAGCTAGACCATGAGCAACCCTATTTTTATAGACGCTCAATTTTCTGAGGAATAAAGTCACGGCCTATTGAATCATACTTGGACAGTTGACATTTGGTCCGATCTCACTGACGATGACATGTACCTAGGGTAGGGTCTTAGGCCTGACCTAGACACCCTACCCAAGGACATAGCCCTAGAGTCAAAGACATTCAAAGTCCAGCAGAGGGTACCGACTGAAATCACCTTGAAGTGCAATCCACTCGACAGAAGATTCCACTCGGATACGCCAATTCCACTCGACCACTATAGAGCCACTCGACCATATGAAGAATCACTCAGAGTACAAAAGATCTAAGCCACCCCAGGATGGCAACGGTCAGGCATTCACTCTGTAACCATAAAGATCATTAATAGCTGGCATTACCAGTAACGCCTCTGTCTTAACTCACATTGAACCCTGTGTAACTGAGGGTTGCGAGGGTCCTGGCGCACTCTATATAAGCCACCCCCCCCCCTCCTCGGGCACAAGGGTTTGCACCCCCTGTAACTTCCACGCATAATCCAGTCGACAAGCTTCCGAGCACCGAGACGTAGAGCTGTTACCTCCTCCGAGAGAGGCCTGAACTCGTAAACTTGCGTGTACAACCTCACCGTAGCTAGGACCTTGCCTCCTCCTACGTACCCCCTATTCTTACTGTCAGACTTACTCCCACGATAGTTGGCGCCCACCGTGGGGCAGGCGTTTGAGCGACTTCCGGTGAGGTTGCAAATTTCGTTCTCCATCAACATGGTTTCCGGTGGTGGTTTGACCTTGGGTCGCGTGATCCGTCTCAGTGCGCCCGTCTTCGTCGTCGACGACTCCGCCTGGCTCCAAGAAGCTCCCCTCGACGTCGAGGCCCTCCCTGTCCGTGGGGCGGTGCACTTCTGTGCGAGTGCCTGCGGCATCCTCCTTCGTTAGCCGGCGACCCAGTATCGGTCGGCTCCCGTTGCATCCGTCCGCCATCGCAAGCGGTCCGGCCGTTCGCGGCTCCAACGTTGGGTGAAGCACGCGGTGGCTCGCCAATTGACCACCCTCCAAGTCGCGACAATCGAGCCTGACAAATCCCTTTACGATCTAGTCGATCTGCTGACTGGTCATTCAGATTCGCTTTTCGAGTGCAAAAGCAACGATCCAGCGGCAGAGGTACTCATGGTCGACTCTCAGCGCAGTCCGCCCGGATTTCATCACAGCAGCGGCGGCCCGTCGCATGATCATGACGAGTACATCCCCGAAGCCCTCACTGTGGAGCAGAGAGAGGATTTGCATCGTCGCAATGTCCAGGCGCTCCAGACCCCCATCATTGGGGAGACCTCTGAGGCTCGGGCCTTGAAGGCTGCACGGATGAGTTTGGAAAATCTACAGAAGGCACTCGACGAACGCGCTCGTCAGCGGATCCCTGAATCCAGTCGACGTGCATGACAGTTGTTTCCAACTGAACCTTAGGTATACCGTACTCTGATCCAAAATGTTGCAGCAGCAGCATGCATAGCAGAGTCAATTCAGTCGTCACATTCAGAGGCTAGTAGAGGTTTGCTGCAGATCCGAGCATTGCTTAGGGACGCTGGGGAACAGAACTTTGTTGTCTCCCAGTCGCGCAATAGAATCCATAGCACGTCTGTGGTTGCAAACACAGTTCAGTCGGCGCATAGTCTGAGGTCGCCTCCGCGGAGTGAAGATCGTGGTCACCGCCATGATCAGTACCTAGGCAGGGCCACGGGCAGTATGATCATCGGTATCCCCGTGATGACCACTATCGAGTGCCTACGCCCCCTCCGGGGGGCGGGTCATACGCGCCCCGGCGGTATAACGACAGGCGCCCGTATGGTGACGAGCGGAGAGCTCCAGTCGACCCAAGAGAGCCTGGATTCGATGCAAGGTCAGTCCTTGTGCAAGGTTTGGTCGACAGAGGCCGAGCAAACAGAGAAGGACAAGACAGAGATCGTCCGACTGGAAACAGATCATTTCTTTCTAGGCCCGAGTGTTTCAGCATGGCCATCCGATCTGCTGAGATCCCTCCCAACTTCAGGTTGGCTATGGGCGTGAGCAAGTTTACCGGTGAGTCAAAGCTAGACACTTGGCTAGAAGATTACCGGGTGGCTGTACAGATTGGTGGAGGCAACGATGATGTAGCCACGAAGCACCTCCCCCTGATGCTTGAGGGTTCGGCCAGAGCCTGGTTGAATCAGTTGGCCCCTGGAAGTATTTTTTGTTCGGATGACTTGGCCCGATTGTTCATCAAAACATTCAAAGGCACCTGCAAGTGACCTCCTGGGCTGACTGAATTGCAGCACTGCGTTCAGAAGCCGAACGAGACTTTGAGAGACTTCATCGAGAGGTGGTCTACCTTTCATCATGTGGTGGAAAATGTGTCAGATCATCAGGCAGTTTGCGCCTTCAAGGAGGGCGTCCGATATCGAGAGCTCATCTTGAAGTTCGACCGTTCCAGAGACATGTCTCTGAGTCAAATGATGGAAATAGCCACTCGGTATGCTAATGGCGAAGAGAAAGACTGACTCCGCAGTGGCAAGGAAAAAACCAGTCGTCCAGGACTCTGAGGCTAGAAATTCTAGCCGGAAGCAAAAGCGTAAATCTAAACCTATAGGTCCTGTTGAGGCTGCAGTCCTAAATGCATAAGGGGAATTTAAAGGAAAGCCCAAACCGCAGTGGAAACCCAAGAAGGTGAAGGATCAGTCAGGCCAAGATGTTCTGGATTTGTCGTGTTACATTCACACGAAGAAAGACTAAGAGGGTAACTTGATTCAACCCAAACATACCACTTGGCAGTGTCGCCTCCTGATTCAGAGCTTCCGAGAGGATCAGCCCAGTGAGAAGGAATCTGATAAGGAGGGGGAAAAGGAGGAAGATGATGGTTACCCTAAGGTCAATGCTACCTTGATGATTTTTGCTGACGTAGAGAGCAGAAGTCGACTGAAAGTCATTAACAGGGAAGTGAATATGGTTGCTCCGGCAACTACGTCATACTTGAGGTGGTCGAAGACTCCCATTACATTCGACCAGTCAGATCACCCAGCGCACGTTGCCGCTCCTGGGCGGCAAGCGTCGGTGGTCGACCGAGTCGTTGGGGGCACCCGACTGACTAAAGTCCTTATGGATGGCGTTAGTGGATTTAAAATTTTGTATGCTAAGACCCTCCAAGGGATGGGCATCCCGATGTCCAAACTCAATGAGAGTAACATGTAGTTCCTGGAGGAAATATGCCCTAGAGGCAATAATAAAGTTATTATTTATTGCCTTATATCATGATAAATATTCATTATTCATGCTAGAATTGTATTAACTGGAAACTTAGTACATGTGTCAATACATAGACAAAAATAGTGTCCCTAGTATGCCTCTACTTGACTAGCTCGTTAATCAAAGATGGTTATGTTTCCTAACCATAGGCATGTGTTGTCATTTGATAAATGGGATCACATCATTAGGAGAATGATGTGATGGACAAGGCCCATCCGTTAGCTTAGCATTATGATCGTTATAGTTTCATTGCTACTGCTTTCTTCATGACTTATACATGTTCCTCAGACTATGAGATTATGCAACTCCCGAATACCGGAGGAACACTTTGTGTGCTACCAAACATCACAACGTAACTGGGTGATTATCAAGGTGCTCCACAGGTGTCTCCGAAGGTGTTTGTTGGGTTGGCATAGATCGAGATTAGGATTTGTCACTCCGTGTTTCGGAGAGGTATCTCTGGGCCCTCTCGGTAATGCTCATCACT